ATTCAAACCTAGAATGTATGTTACACTGTACAGGAGAAATCACTTAAGTTCTTTAAATTCTAACTCCTTTATGTGCAAAATGGGTATAGTATCACATACTAATTTGCTAAGCTCCAACACTGAAGTGAGTCTTCAAAGTTACAAAGAAGAATAAAATGTAGGCCACAGCCAATAGAGGCAGAAAATAAACCCACAAAAATTAAATGATATACTTTTTTTATTTAGAGAAAAAAAGCAAAATAGAAAAAAGGGTAGAAATAATACAGAATTTAAAAAAACAGTAAGAAGTCACTAATTGATAAATTACATTTTGTTATCTTACTTCTTTTTTTTTTTTTTTTTTTTTTTTTTGGTCTTTTTGAGACAGGGTCTCTCTATGCAGTTCAGGCTGGCCTTGAGCTCACTTTGTAGCCTAGGCTGATCTCGAACTCATATAGATCCTCCTGCCTCAGCCTCCCAATCGCTAGGATTACAGGTGTGAGCCCCACACCCGGCCTTACTTCATTTTTATATCCCAATGCTGGTTGACTTTCCAAACACTTGCTCGAGGTAGGTTATTCAAGTCATTTTCCTTCAAAAATTGGTCACTTTATCATTCAAAAAAATTTTTTAATAAGCAAAATACATTATGTCACAGTCTGTCTTAACTTTTCTCAAGTACCACCAATGGATTCTCTCCTGAGCATTCTTCAATTCATTTCTGCTTCCAAGGATTTTATAACTGAAAGCTGAAGGTAGCAGCATCAATTTTATAATGAAATCTCAGTACCTAGTTTCTGCCCAATCTATGGCAGGGAGATAAAAAGATAAACAGTGTAGACAAGTGTATGAAGGCCCATGTTCCCTACTTTCTGCTTTCACACCTGTAATAGTCTTTCAAATGACTACAGATGGGAGCTAAGACTTGATGTCAGTCTACAAAACATAGCAAAAGTGGCAGAATACATGTGGATATATGTATGTATTACAAACTGGAGATGAGATCCCTCGCTACTGGCCTTGATGAAGTCACTGTCGATGCTGGGAAGGCCCCTGTAGCAAGAAACTATGAGGGGTGGCCTCCAGGAAAGAGCCAGTAAGAAATGTTAACCTCAGTGAACAGGTCATAAGGAACTGAATGCTGCCAATAACCATATAAAGCAGATCCTTCCCAAGGTGAGATTCTACCTGTGAAGTGTGAAACAGAGGACTCTGCTAAGATGTGGCCAACTATTGACCTACAAAATTTGTGAAAAAATAAATGTAGGTATCTTAAGTTACAATGTTTTTGGTCATATTGTTATGCAGCAAAATACACACTAATGACCTCAAGATGAAAAAGGAATTCCTGACATCTGAGAGCTAGCCTGGTGCCTCAGCAAGACCTTGGGGTTACAAAGAGCTGCCCTCCACTCGTATCCAGGCTTTAGTGTTAATACCCACGATTTTAAAGAACACTAACAACAGAGCAAACTATTTTTGTGATTGCCAACAGGGATCCAGGCAAAAACACAACCACTCTGTAACCACATTTGAACATGAACAGAAACAAACATTATTCAAATCACAATGACCAAACATGCGCTATATTCACCATTATACACACATAACTTTAATACTGATTTATCCGCTGTGTCTTTTTGATAAGATTTATTAAGATTCTCATTCACAGACATACCCTTACTTGTAACATTCGACACAGAACAAAGTTCCACATCTTGAAAGCTACCTAACACAAATCCAAATCCTACCCCAAGGCCTTTCAAACAGCATCACACTTAGGTAAACCGCAATCCCACTGGTAGGTACACTACCTGGTCACAACCAGCAATAAACTCAACCTGTCCAATCACAGGTGTGTTCCTAGTTAAACACAACTGGTCTTTGTTTGGAAAGCACTGGCAAAATATTAACAAGCAAATTATCATGTCAAGACACAACAAAAATACAACCATCTGACTTTATCGTGGAACTTGAATGAAAACAGAAGTATAAATCAGTAAAACAAGAAGTGTCCACCTGCAGTGTATATTAGACATAAAGCATGAATATAAAGTGTTTCAAAATGAGTATGGAGATATTATTTGGTAAATAGTGGTATTAGCATAAATGAGTAAGAATAACAAAACTAGGATGGATTCCTTGCTTAAGACTAAATAAAACTAAACTCTTATGAAGGTTAACGAATTAAACATAAATAATAGATTAGTGAAAAAGTAATGGTCTTATTTGTCAGATCCACAGGAAAACAATTAACTTCTCATTTGGAAATGATAAAAAGAAATGGACTGACATAGATACAAAAACACAAAATCAAAATGAAGTACCTGAGAAATTACTGTATCACAGTGATAAAATATTTAAATTTACAACAGATTCATTCAAAGTACAAGGAAAGCATCACCTGTTCCAAAAGATAAATGAGCAAAATACCACGGATGACATGGAGAAAACAGTAAATAAAAACATGGAACCATCTTCAGTTCTCAGTGGTTCATTTCATAGTTACTATGCAGTGAGTTAGACAATGAACATGTGGAGAAATGGTGGGGCACGGTATGAAGCCCCTTCACCAGTGACAGTATTTTATATTGCTACAATTTACTTGGAATGCAGCACAGAGGAAGAGTCAATCTAATTAAGCAAGGCCAAGGAAATCTTTCAGCAGAAATTGTTGATTTGGATTTCACAGTACTACCTAAAAGGCAAACAGAAATCACTTAAAAGTTTAGTGATATGGAGATTTGTGGTGAATTGTGTTGTATTAACACACATTAATAGATGTCAAAATAAATGTGAAGGTTAGACTCATGGAAAATGTTTCAGATATGATGTGACCAAAAAATAAATAACAAAAAAGGGCTGCAGATATAGCTCTCAGTGGCATAGTGCTTTGCCTACCATGAGTGAAGCACTGGGTTCCTTTCCTAGTACTGAAAACAAAACAAAACATTAACAATGCAAACAACCAAAAAGCAATAGTATGCTAGGCATCTGAGGCATTCTATGCTCACATATCATTTATTCTTCAAAACATGTGCCAGAAAAATATTATTCTCATTTTACAGATAAAGATACTCCAGCAAAGAGAAGGCCAACATTACACATCAGAAAAGTTGAGAAGATGATACAAAACAAGATTCGACTCCACAAACTGTTTCCAATCACTGCACTTCGTACTTCTCTTGAACATAATGAAGACTGCAAATATGCACAACTATGGGTATCTGGGACCAAAGCAAATGTGAAATAATTGTGAAACAGGAATAGAATTAAAAGGAATTTAATTTTTAAAACCAGCAAATGCTATATGATCTACTCAAGAAAACAATCAAGCACTGAGCACCTGACTTACAATTTCCATGCAAAGTAAAATTATATCCCTGGAAAGAGGTTTGGCATCTTTTCTAGCTTCAAATTACTTCTAACTTCACTCTATTCTAGAAAAATAAGATGAGGAAGGAAATAGTGCAGGATCAATAGCAGAATGCATGCCTGATTGTTGGGTAGAAACCACAACATAAAGGTAAGAACAAGATCAAGAGACAAGACGACACCCAGAAGGAGAGGTGGTAAAGGCAAAACTGGCTGCAGAAGGCAGATAAGAAATCCGCCACCTAGAGAAGAAGAGGGCTGGAAAGGACAGGTGCACATCCAAGCAAAGGAGAGATCTTCTGCTTATTTTCTATCTTACCAAAATTAGATTTCTTGTCTGCTAACAGTTGGTTAAGTTTAGAGATAAAAATCAGAGCCCCTGTAGAAATATAGGGATAGGTGTGGGGTGGCCTGATGTAGTTTAATTATCCCTTCCCAAGAAAACTGGGTTCAGTAATGTATAAATTAAGGATGGCACAGACTTATTCAACACCATTCAGGTGTGTGCTGACGCAGTAGTCAAGTAATCACTGTTTTCACAACTACATTATCAAACCATTTGAGTTTTACTTGCTCTTTTAAGATAAGAAGAATTCTTTTAACAGTCAAATCTCAGATGACACAGGTCAGTGGTAAATAGAAAATGGGAGTAAAGATAAGGAGAGGAAACTATGGAGTCTATGAGAATAGAAATAGAAAGTTCATGTTAAGAAGTATGCATTTGTGGGGTCGGAAAACCTGACCCCTGTCCTATGGACTGTCTGTTCATCAGCACTTTTGCAGATTGGAAAGATCATATCCCTAAGTTATAGGCAACAGTTTTTCCCTGAATATACCACCTGTGCAATCATTTCAGAAGGTCGTTTTGCACAGAGTGTGGAGGCAGAACTAATTTGTCATCAAGGCTTTGGAGACAAGGAAAGCAAAGCTAAATGCTTCAATAGACATCAACATTTTAAGGCAGCAGTGTGAGTATGGCTAAGGAAGGAGAGATGTTAAACAATGCCCTGTAAATCTGATCTTACTGATACTATATCTCAGCCAGACCAGGATCAGTGTGTGTAAAATGATTAATCACCACCTCTCTGAAATATTCAAGGTCCTCCTGCCTCTTAGGATGGAAAAAAAAATCTAATGCTGACATATGACTTTGAGGCTTTTGTTCATTCTATATTCTTTTAATAAAATAGAACAAAAAATTTTGCCTTGGGCTTGGCTGAGTTATGGGGTTTATCTCTTAAGTGGCAAAAAGCTTCATTCCTCAGTCCAATTGCCAAACTGAGCCAGAGTTACAAGAAGCCTGATAGGGAACAAAAAATGCCTATGCTATACCTCAGGGTACGATACATCAAACGTGGTAACAGCTCTGAAAGACAAATTTTCTCTTAATATTTATAGAAAAATGGGCACTGTAGAACAGAATTAATTTAGCTAGTGGGTAAATGCTGATAGCTGTGTGTGGTAAAGCCTGGTATCTGTTTTTGACAAATGCTGGATGAATTACAATCAGACTCTAAACTTAAAAAAAAAAAAAAAAAAAAAAAAATTCAAACTCTAAACTTGCAGCAAGCAGGACCGGGCAGGTGGGAAAGCAAAGCCTTGGGAAGCTGCTTGAGGCATGTGCTCCAGTGGGCACCAGCACCTACCTTCTCTGCATACTCAGACACAATCTGCTTGATCTCAGCAGAGCAGAGGCCCACGATCTGGCCCACGGAGCTTGCGGTGAGACGGCTCTGCAATCACATGAGGTATGCTTTCAAAGCCAGGCAATGTCTTAACAGACCTAGAAACCTTAAACACTAAGAATTATTGCAAAACAGATGATATTTCCAGGAGTAAAATAATTTCCCTTTTGTTCCCTTATTCACCATAAGGAAGAAAACAGCCTTAGGACAAAAGTCAAAGCTACCTCCTACGTCACTCAGCTGACTTTGTTAGCCACATCTCAGGTCCCGGGTACCCCTGGAAACTATTCCTCACCTTCCCTGCCCCACTTCCAGGCCTTTTGATGGCTACAGAATAAAGCCAATAAGGTATTTCATGGGTCCAGAACTCAAGGAAGAGAAGAGCAAAACTACAGGACAAGAAACCTCAGAGACCAAACATCTCTCAAATGCAAAATAAATGATCCTCTGAGTACTGTGCCTGGCTAAACTTTCTGGATGGGCTTGTTCTCTGAAAAGATCAATTATAAACTCTGAACTCCATACTTTCCCTAATGCCATTTGAAGGGGGAAGAAGATGGGGGTTCCTTAGGGAAAGTGGAATCTGTGGTTATAAAGAGGCAAGGCTGATCCCTCTTTCCAGCAGAAACCTGCAGAGTGAGCCAGCAGGAACATCCTAACCTCACAAGGGCCCTCAAGTCTCCTTCTCACAGGTCTCTGCAGATTACAATCCTATACATTATAGACCGGCTTTCCAAAAAGGAACCCACAGGAACAAAAGGCATTACTCCTGAAAAGAAAGGACCCCACTAGGAAGAAGCCTCCCAGAGCAGAACCATAAGAGTCAAATCCTCCTCCATATCTTCCTCATCCATGGCCACTCACCTCATTTGCCATGGCGGTCATCTTGGTCATCAGTGATTGAATACGCTGCTGAAAGAAGAACAGAAAGAGCAGCAGTGAGTGGCTCTGCCCACAAAAAAATGAAGCGAATGCCCCTGTAGGTCTCTGTGATAACATCCCAGGGTCATTTTCTTGGTCTGGTTTTATGGTAGGCTTCATGACAGATAATGGAAGGCACAGAAGACACAGCCCCTGGCTGGCTCTCTGGGAAAGCTAAGGATGGCAGTCACTTTCTTCTCAAATGACTGAAAACTCAAAAGATCTACATAAAGCACATACCTCTTCAGCTGCTTGAAGCTCATCCTCCTCATGGACATCTGCTCTTTCTGTAGCTGACAGTCCTGTGGGAAGTGGTGTTTTCTTGTCCTCAGCCTACAAAGGAAGACGTAAAAACAGCTGAGCACCAGAGTTGGAAATTCAACAAAGGGCAGCACTGCAAAGAGTCATGAGTCTGTTAAAGAAAACACACAGGGGGCTGGGGATTTAGCTCAGCGGCATAAGCGCCTGCCTTTCAAGCAGGCAGTCATGAGTTCGATCCCCGGTACCGATAAAAAGGAAAAAAGACAAAAAAAAAAAAAAAAAAAAAAGAAAGAAAGAAAGAAAACACATAGATACAGAGAGCTGAGTCAGTCTCTGACAGAGAATGGACAGTCATAGCCAAAGGTTGCATTCAAGCCACACAGCCATCACTTGACATTCAAGGCCTGGCTAATGCCTGTCTCCATTTCCCACCTGCTCACTGATTAAATGAATACCAGGTCACATTTACCAGACTTATTCTTCTGCTCTGATTTTGTCTTCCTCCTACTCCAAGACCTTCAAGGACAAGTAACAGACAAGGCACAGTTTCTTTCAATTGTCAGGTGAGATCCATTAGTAGGTAATCTAACAGGTATTACTAGAATCTATACAAATAAAAGTAACAGTACACATCAGATTGCTTTGTAGGTGGTAAAGAATTCAGTACAGGATTGGTCAATGAAAGTTTTGCTTTGGGGGAGAATATGAATATGGGTACTGAATCACAATAAAAAATAAAATTTTTACTGCTACAAGTGATCAAACAAGTTTAAAAACCACTGGTCTAAAGGAAAACAAAATTTAAATTGCTTCTTCTATTGATCAACCTGTTCCATCTGGACACAGCCATGGGCTGTCAATGTTCTGTGCCATGCCCAAGGTACCCTGCATTAACTGCTCGTCCTCAAACACAGTCTGTAAGCCTAGAGTTCTTGGTTTTAACCCCGACTCCACCATCCACCAGCTGATTCACTTCAGGATCACTGCTGATCTCTGGCTATCATATGTGAAGGAGAGGATTAGCCTTGCGTTCCTTTCTTGGCCATCTAAACTTCAGGATGCTTTTCTGTAACAAGTCTTTCATTCTCCACAAAACAGCATGGACTCCTGACTACCTGGATATGTTCACAAAAGATAAGATTCCAATCCAAATGGGCCATCTGATATAACAATGACAAAACAAGCCCAATTTGTATGCTATTTTATGGACATCTTGTGATTTTTTTTGTCTCAGTCAAACTGTATTTCAGAATAGTCATACACACAAAATTCTTTTCAGATTCAAATTATACATCAAATTAAAAGTACACATCAATCCCTTGCTATTTACCAGGTGATACATGACATAATTCAAATTCACAAAGTATTTTGCAAAAAATGATTATCAGGCTGAATGAAACACAAATATGGAGAAAAAATGAAAAAAATTGGAAGGAAGCATCACAGTCAATACTCTCCTAACTACGAATAAACCAATGCTAATATCAGTTTCTGCTTATTAATTGTTTATTATGTGTGGGGTCATTCTAGGTCCTTCACAGCACTCTGAGGCAGACACAATGACCACCCCATTTTACAGATGCTGTGAGACAAGGTATACTGGTTATGCAAATTATTTAAAGTCACACAGTGAAGGGGAGGTGCTCAGACTTGAAGCCAGTAGGTCTGGCTATAGAATATATGCTCCTGGTCACCATCAGTCCCCTGAATGACTAAGATGACAATGACGACAGAAGGTCACAGAGGGGTGGAGGAACTGGACAAGTGAGGGGGCAGCAGCAAAACAGTGAGAGGAGCAGGTTGAAGCAGGAGAGGAGCTAGTTGAAGAAATCTGAGGTCAGGTGGGAAATGTGAAAAGAAATTCTAACAAATCTCAAACTGAGGGACACTATTTTTAAGAAGCCACTGACCACTTTAGCAGGCTCTCTCTAAATCACAAAGCAGTGATTATAAATGCCTAGTCTTTGATATCAGACAGATTTGGATTCTTATTACAGCACTTTAAGGTTCTGTGACCTTGGACAAATCACTGAGCCTCTTGGAGCATTCGTTTTATGGTTCAAAAAACAGGAACAAGAATCCTCTTCATAGCATTGTTAAGTGAAACAATGCATGCAGATCTCTTAACAAATGGCCTGAAACACAGGGGCTGGCACTGTAATATTTATGTGCCTTCTCTGCTACTAACAATTAAGGATCACTAATAAATACACAAATGAAAAGAAATCATTTATACTCATTTGTGAAGTTAGACAATCCCAACTTAATTTGGCTCTTTCACACTCAGCTGTCTTTTGGAGGGCAGGCCTGTAATTTACAGCTGAAGGCCATCTCTCTGCTAGTACCCTGTTCACACCTAGAAGTCCTCATTCTGGGACAGGATTTCACATTCTTAGACCCCATGCAACCTACTTTCAATCACTCTACATTTCAAGTGCCAAAAGTGAAAGTGTTCAGCCTAAAGAAGCAGCAGAATGGAAATGCCAGGACAGGTACACAGGGGAAAAGGGCAGCTGGCCCATACCTCCCACCCATGCCAGGCTTCCCAGGGAGCTGGGTCCCAGGCTGTCAGTGTCTGGTAGAGGCCAAAGGGTGGTCACTGCCACTTCTCAAATATTCCCTCCCATTATCTATACTTTTTTCTTACCTTCTCTGTTTTGTTCTGGCGGCTAAATCCGTATCTCCTGCAGGCCACAAAAAACAGAGTTCAGTTACTATTCAAAAATCACAATAAAGTCTGTTGAATGCATTCTGGTTTGGTTTTTATATGAAAAGCACCAAACAGAATTCAGCCTATTTGGTCCCTGTAGAAAATGTTTTAAATGCCTTATGCAGAAATACAGTCCATCACTTTCAAGTAAAGGCTAGCTATCCTATTTGCTATACAATTACTGTAAATTGGAATTCTTTATTGGCAGAATATAACATTTTCCTTAAGTGCAGTCATTACTCTGAAGCAAGAACTGTATTTCAGAACCACAATGTATGCTAAAAGCCTTCAAAATATCTTCAAAATATGTGAATGTATTTGCTCAAGCCAAACATGCTCTACAATGTTATCTTTTTATTTTCAAACATAATCCAGGGATGATGTCAATAATGTGCATTCACTTAATGCAACTTGAATTAAACCATACACACACGCACACACAGAGAAATGCATTTCCATTTAAATGAGCTTACTTTCTGGCTCGAATTAATCTATGTCTTAAAAAAGAAATATAACAAAGCAAAAGTATTAAACCTAAAACAAAAACATAAGGAAACAGACCCAGCCTCACATACTTTTAAAGAGCTTGTAAGGAAATTAAGTTACATGCACCTGCTTAAGAAAAACAATTGCACACTTCACTCTGACCACACTCAGGCCATGCCTCACCTGCCCACCCATGTGCTGTTTCTCCTGCTCTGGTGCCTGCAGCCTCATTCCCTCCCATCTTCCTGCTCATTCTTTATGCAGTCTGTCAAAGGCATGCCTCTCCTCTCAGGAGGAAAGGGATTTCCATGGCAGCCCCAGTGCAGCTCCTCACCTTGTACATTCCTGCTCCACTACTGCCTGAACAGGAAGCGTGGCATGTGCTGTTCTCCCCCTCATTTCCTGATTTACAGTTCAGGCCCCATCTAGCTTCTGGGCAGACTCCTCTTATTTCCCAGAATCAATTACACTCAACTACCTAGTTATCTGTCTGTATCCTTCTTCTTGAGGGTAATGATCCTACTTTTACATTCTGTCTTTCTTTTGTGATGGTGGGGATTGAACGCACGCTTCATGCATGCTTAAGCAAGCATACTATCACAGAGCTATTCAAGGCCTCCCTTTTACATTTTGTATCTCCAATGTTACTGAATTAATAAACTAAACATAGAAGAAAAAATAGAAAAATCAAGATGCTATAAGTTTAGCTTGGGTTTTCTGCCATAACTGGAGAACCGGGCAATGTTCCCATTCTTTAGGCACAAAACTATAGGATTAAAATATGACAGACTGAATCTAAAGTTATTTAGGTCTCCACACAAATTCTGTAAAAAGCCTTGGGGAAAATTCTGTGAATTAGCCTAATCAATATTGATTGTATCTTCTTGTAGTACTGTTGCAGAAGCAGAAAAATAAGACTATTTTCCAGACTTCTGACAGCTAGGGTTCTGACTACTATTTTGGTCTTAGCAATCGGGAGCATTTGTTGGAGTTGTAAATGAGGAACAATTAATCAAGGACTGAAGGAGGGCACAGAAGTTCCACTGAAGGCCACAGAAGAATTGTGATTTCAGGGCCAGCAACTGTCACAGAGGCTTCCTGGTCTTTCAACAAGGGCTTCTTGATTTGGGCAGAAGTGGCATGGTCTGCAATGGGCAGTGGCCCCAGTTTCCTAATTTCCCAGGCTGCTGACTATCTTCCTAAGCATGCAGCCATAAGCAGTGCCCTTGGCCCAGCTCTGTGAGGCCTGGGAGGCCAGCCTGGTGCCCATCCTTCCCTGTGATGGGAAGCCCTTCTGCTGAAGAAGCCTTTCTGCTGAAATCAGTGTCAGAACCCTGTTCTCACACAAGGAACTCTAACCAACACAGGTCTCACCAAAGCTTGGCGCTAGTGTCCTCACATCTAGAACACTCCTTCCTATTCTATACCTTTAGTCTGTGGAGATCCATGGGGCAGAGGACATGCCCTCAGGTAGTTAGCCCTTACCTAAGGCCTTAGGACTTTATAAATTAACCGGAGGAACAATGAACTAAATCTGAATGACTCAATCACCAAGTACCATGTATTTCTCCATAATGATAGAGGAAAACTCTTCTGACCACTTAAAGACAGGTTACCCTCCCAGTTGTATGCTTTTTCATTTATACCACAAGCACACACCACACAGCACAAAGAACTATCTATTATACATAACCCTCAGGCCTGCGTCGTGAGCTTCTAGAAGGAGGAATTTACTTTATTCATATTTATTTTTAAAATTAAAACAAATATCATGGTGGTCACATCTGGCTTGAGGGCCAGAACCAACTCATTTATTTTTAGATAGACTAATTTTCATCCTTTAGAAGGAAAGACTTGCCTTTATGTTATCATCTCAAAGAAAAAAGTTGTTGTCTTTCCTTGGAAGCTTATAAGGATTAAGCATGACTTCTTTCCTACTGGTCTCCAGTACACAAAAGGAGAAAGCAGATGTTCATTCAGGGAGATGCTAATGTCAGTGCAGTTAGTTCCAGCCACCCAACAAGGGCTGGGCTATAAGCAAAGCAGTGGACAGGAACCTCTGCCGGCACAGCAAAAAGAACAGGCAGCAATATACTCACATCAAAGGATTGGATACCCTAAGTAGAGAATGCAGGACATAAATGGAGGTTAATACCTAGCATCAGCCAAAATATTTAATGGAGAGAAGCAGTCTTTGTGGGTTGCAAAAGTAAAAATAGGTTATAAAATTTTTTTTTAAAAATTAGGTATTATTAAGAAGTGACAACACTAATTTTCTAGTCATTTCCCTAAAACAGCAGTGACACAAATCCAAAATTATTATTCTAAAAACATAAAATTGATGATAATACTTCCATTTCTTCTGTTTACTTAAGGTTTTAATACGTGGCATTATCTGAAGCTCAGACATGTCATAGCCTCTACAAAAGGCTCAAGAGAGCAGAGCCAGAGCCACTGTCACAAACGCATTTCCAAAGGGCAAGTGCAAAGGCAAGCCACAGATATTTAGCTAACATCAGACAGGCAAGTCCCTGATGCTGGAAATCTCAGGGGTAATAACAAGAAACACAATCGGACAGACTCCAGTTAACCCAACTGAAGCCATTTAAACCAGCTTTTTCTTTTATTAAACAGATACCTAGACTGGGCCTCATTCATTACCTGCCATATTCTAAAAGTGTAGCATGGATTCGAGATTCTTCATCAAGCAGCTCCTCTGCCCCCTGTTGGCGTTTGTACTTCCGACGTGGCTTGTAAACATCCTAAGTGGATGAGACAGACAAATTACTCGGTTAATAAGACTCACCTAAACAGGATGCTAGATGCCTCCAGCCAGCAGGGCTACAAGCCTTTCCCGCATAGAGTGAGTGCTTCTGTTGTAGGACAGGGCATTGAGGAAACTGCTTTTAGGGAGCATGTTCTACAGGTGACAGAGAGACAGTTTGTGAAAGCTTGGGTAAGACCATGAGTGGGACTTCTGGTTACTTGAGATGATTTGCTTTGCCTACACAGCACACTACTGCCTACAAAAGAGGGGCTTCACTTTTAAACATTTATTAAAATGATCAGTGCTCACTGAAAAAGGTCCAAGTACATAAATTTATGAATTGCCAGCCCTGCCCAACAAGTTAACATCATATTTGCTGGGTACCCTTCTACATCATTTACAGATGTGAAAACAGCTGTGGTATAAACTAAAAATAATGGAACAAAACTCAGAAAGTAATCAAACACTCTTCAGTTTTTTGTTGTGTTCTGTATTTGTTACAAAATTTTTAAGTGGATATATTCCTGTAAAAAGTTTCAAACAGTATGAAGCGCACAAATTTTTTTCAAAGTCCTGCCTTACTCTCTCTTTCTCTAAATCTAACTTATTTCTAACCAACCACTGTTTGTCTGACAGGTGTAGATCCTTCCAAACCTTTGTATATTTACATAATTACAGGTATATATGCACATTTTTGGATAGCTTTTCCTATATAAGGGAAAATGTAATGAATGTATCATTCTATAACTATTTTTTTCTTAACAAAATAAATTGGTGATTTCCATGAAATAAATTTAACATACAATGCCACTTCATTCTTTTAAACTAAATGTAGGGGAGTCTGCACCCAGTATTCTGTCCACACCTGAAAAGCATCTCTGAGGCCTGCAGAAACAGAGCCTGCACCCAGTGACCAGCAGTCATCTGGTAAATTTCTCAAGCATGGGAGGAAAAGAAGCTGACTTCCAGATAAGTGAGGCATACAGATTGCTACAAATTCAGCATAAGAATAGAATATTAAAAGTCGCTTGAGAAAAGAAACAGATCACCTATAAAGGAAAGCCTATCAGAATCATGGCAGACTTCTGAACACAAAAGATCAAGTTAAGAAGAGCATGGAGTAAAGTATTCAAGTAATCAAAGAAAACAACTTCCAACTCAGATTGATGTTCCTTGCAAAACTATCTTTCAAAATCAATGAAGAAATAAGATACTTCGTAACAAAGAACTGAACAACTTTATGACAACCCCACCAACTCTACAAAGAGTACAAAAAGATATCCCAGAAAGAGCTAGAAATAACCATAATTCCAAGAACAACAACAAGAAGAAAAAGCAACCAACAAGCAAGACAAGCAATTAAACAGAGAAGTAAAAGTAGGGAACTAACAACAGAGAGATAATGTGACAAAGATAAGCCAATATATATGTCATAACCATTAATGTAAATGGTCTCATTTCACCAACCAAAAGAAACACACTGGCAGAGTGGATTAAGAAACAAAATCCAACAATATGCTGTATAAAAGAAAATCATTTAACTCAAAAATAAATTCACAGACGGAAAATCAAAGAATGGAAAACAATACTCCATGCAACAGGAACTCAGAAAACAGCAGAGGTAGCAATTCTGTTTGCAGACATTGTAAACTTCAAACCAAGAATGATCAAAAGAGATAAAGAAGGTCACTACATACTTGTTAGAGGAAAACTTCAAGAGGAAGAGATAACAATCCTAAATATATATGTACCAAATATGGGAACACTCAGCTATGTAAGACAAATATTAATAGACATGAAAAATCAAATAAGCAATAACACAGTCATAACGGGGGAACTTAACACTCCAGTGTCAAAAAGAGACAGATCAACCAGACAAAAATCAGAGAAAAAGTAACAGAATTGAATCAAATTGGTAAATAAATGTACTCAGCAGATGGGTACAGAATATTCCACCCAACAACATCAGAATATGCATTCTTCTTAGCTGGACATGGGACATTTTCTAAAATAGGCCATATACTAGCCCACAGAACATGCTTAAGTAAATGCAAAAAAATCAAAATTATTCCATGCATATTATCTGACCATAGTGCCATGAAATTGGAAATTAATGAAAAAAAAACCTGAAAAAACATAGAAACTAATTAATATCCTCCTGAATAATCAATGGATCACCAAGAAAATTAAAGAAGACATTAAACAATATATACAAGCAAATAAAAATGCAAATACAAGTTACTGAAACCTGCAGAATGCAATGAAAGCAGTCATCAGAGGGAAATTCACTGTAGTGAACTCTCACATCAAAAAAACAGAATGAACACAAATAATTTGATGTATACTTCAAATATCTAGTAAAAGAAGATAAGTAAAGCCCAAAGCCCAAAGAAAAGAGATTAAAAAGATCAGAGTGGAAATTAATGCAATTGAGATTAAGAAAATACAAAGAATTAATGAATCGAGAGTTAGTTCTTTGAAAGAATAAATTGATAAGCTTCTAGTCAACCTTATCAAAAAAAGGAAAGCAAAACTTAAATTCAGTAAGCAATCAAAAGGAGAAAATCACTTCAGACCCTGTGAAATTACAAAAGTTCATCAATACCTACTTCGAAAACCTGTTCTCTTATAAGGTTGATAACACAGAAGAAATGGACAGATTCCTGGAAATATGTGAATTACCAAGCCTGGATCAAGAAGATTTAAAACTGCTGAATAACCCAGTTTCAGTTAATAAAACTGAAAATGTAATTAGAACCTTACCAACAAAGAAAAGCCCAGGTCCTGATGGATTCACTGCTGATTTTTTTTTTTTTTTTTTTTTTTTTTTTGGTACCAGGGATTAACATCACAACCTTGCATGTAGCAGGCAAACGCTTGAGCTACTGGGCTAAATTCCAGGCCACTGAGCTAAATCCCTAGCCTACCTGTAGAATTCTGTAAGAAATTTAGGGAAGACTTAATGCCAATACTCCTCAAACTCCTCAGTGAAAGGGAAGCAATTCTCTCTAACTCATTCCTAGAAGCAAGTATTACCCTAATATCAAAATCAGACAAAGACCCAACCAAAAAAGACAATTACAGGCCAATCTCGCTAGTGAATATCAATGCAAAAATCTTCAATAAAATACTGGCAAACAGAATGCAGCAAAAAATCAAGATTATATGCTGGGACCAAGCGGGATGCATCCTAGGAATCCAGGGATGGTTCAACATCACAAATCAGTAAACATGATATACCATATTAATAGAGCCCAAAGGAAGGGACTGGGGATTTAGCTCAGCGGCATGATTGCCTGCCTTGCAAGCAGGCAGTCTTGAGTTCGATCCCTGGTACCGATAAAAAACGAAAAAGACCAAAAAAAAAAAAAAAAAAAAAAAAATAGAGCCAAAGGTAAGAATCACATGATCATCTCATTAGATGCAGGAAAAGTTTTGATAAAGTCCAACACTCATTCACGATAAAAACCCTACAGAAAATCAGAGTAGTTAGTCTTTATCTCAATCTGATAAAAGTCACATATGAAAAACTAACAGCCAATATCTTACTAAATAGACAACACTGAAAGCTTTCAACCAAAAATCAGGAACAAGACAAGGATATTCACTATCAATGCTCCAATTCAATACAGTTCTGGAAACATTAGTCAGAACAATTTGACAAGAGTGCAAAATAAAAGGAATAAGGATAGGAAGGAAAAAGTTAAATTATTATTTGCAGATGACATGATATTCTACATGCATGACCCCTGAAACATCACTGAAAGACTTCTAGATCTAACAAACAAATTCAATACCATAGCTGGATACAAAGTCGACACTCAAAAATCAGTAACATTTCTATACACAAACAACAAACTCACTTTGTTTGTTGACAAAGTGAGAGAACCCACACCCTTCACAATAGCATCCAAAAAAATGAAATACTTAGTAATCAGTCTAACAAAGGAAGTAAAAATCTACACAGTGAAAATTACAGTACTATGAAAAAAGAAATCAAAGAGGATTTCAGAAAATGGAAAAACATTCCTTGTTCATGAATAGGAAGAACAAACACTGTGAAAATGGCCATCCTGCCAAAATTGTTATACAGATTTAATGCAATTCTAGATTAAAGTACCATTTGCATACCACACAGATCTAGAAAAATCATTCCTAAAACTCATATGGAACCAGAAGAGACCTAGAATAGCAAAGGCAATTCTGGGCCACAAAAGCAAGGCAGGAGACATCACAACCCATGACTTGAAATTATACTACAAAGCTACTGTGATAAAATTAGTATAGTACTGGCAAACAAAACAAAAACAAACCCACCACAGATCTGAAGGTTAATGGAACAGATTAGAAGAAATAGCCAAAACTACAAATACACTCAGCCACTTATCTTTGAAAAGGGGCCAAACAAGCTCACTGGAAGAAAGATAGCCTCTTTCATAAGTGGTGCTGGAAAAACTGGCTTTCCACCAGACCTATGCCTATTGCCATGTACTCTAAGTCAAATGGATCAAAGATCTAAATATTAAAACAGAAACACTAAATCTACTGGAAGACAAATTACGTAGAAATCTTGAAGACACAGGGGTAAGCAGAGTTTATGAACGAAAATCAAATTGCATGAGAAATCCTTCCCAGAATCAACAGCTGCAATCTCCTGTTACTAAAGTTTTGCCTGTCAAAAGAAATCTCCAACAGAAGGAAAAGAAAACCCACAAATTGGGGGAAAAAAATCTTAGTAACTGTCCCTTAGACACAGGACTTCTACCTAGAACATATAAAGAATTAAAAAAGATCAGGTCCCCAAAAGTCAAAGACCCACTCCAAAAATGGGCATCTGAGATGAATACATACTTCTAAGATGAAGAAATACAAATGGCAAGTAAATATATGAAAACATGGTCATGGGTCATTTGAGAAATGCAAATTAAAACCACAGAGATTCCATCTCACTCCAGAAAAAATGACTAAGAACAAGAAATCCATCATTAACAAATG